GGGGGGGGAGCGCTGGGTTTTGCGTCATCTCCTCCCGCGCCCAGAGCTCTCCATCCTGGCGCATTGGCACCACATTCGGCCCGGGGAGGAGGGCGAAGACTGAAGCCGGGAAGGAGGAGGTGGGGGCCGACTGTGGGGGGCCACCCCCCTACCGCACCCCACCCTCCCCTCACAGGGCCTTTCGGAGCTCTGGTGGCTGCTCTTTCCGTTCCATGCCCCCTCCCCACTCTTCCTTCTTCTTCTTCTTGGGTTTCTTCCTCTTCCTCCTTTGACCGCGAAGACCGCAGGACCGGAGATGCTGTCTGTTTCCATTCTTCAGCATCTTCGCACTCCCTTTGCTCTTTGTTCCTGGAAAAAGTCCAAGTTTCAGGTGGACAGTAAAAGGTTTCTACTGGGACCAGGGTCTCAATGCACTTTTCTTAACTATTGGATAATTTGCTTAAAATGGATTAATGGGAGGCAGAGCCGTTAACCAACTGTCTGGAGGAGCCAGGGTGACATTTGGTGGTGTTGAATGTACTTCGGAATCTCTAGACAACTAGAGATCGACAGCATCGGAGTGGTAAGGTATTTTGTCCATTTAACATATGCTGCAGATATGAGCATATGTACCTTAACCGCTACACGATTGGTCATGTTTTCATATTCTCAAATGTGACCGTATATAATCTTGGGGAAAAATAACCTACCTACCCTTTCCACATGTTAACTGCAAGCTATTCCTCCTCCCATCAGCAACATCCTAAACTCCCGAATTCCCCAACTCCACCCCAAGGAGGCTGCCACAGCCCGGGTCCCTACTGCCCCCTCCCCTGCGCCCCACACAAACATGCACACACACAGCGAGAATGGGGCTTTCCGGTCACCCAGGACTTCCGCAGCAGCCGGTGAGTTCGGCTGCCTGGGAGTCGGTGGTCGGAGCCAGGCGCTCCAGTCCGAGACTCTGGTGCCCCTTAGCGTTGGAACTGGGAGTTCTCAGAAAGGAAAGCAACGAATCAACCTGGGGGCGGGTGTGTGTGTGTGTGTGTGTGTGTGTGTGTGTGTGTGTTTTACTGATCTGATCTGCCTGGTTATAAATCAAAAGCCAAATCAAACCTTTGCTGTGGAGTTGATTCTGACTCATAGCAACACAATAGGACAGAGTAGAACTCCTTAGGGTTTCTCAGGCTGAAACCTTTATGGAAGCCGACTGCCACATCGCTCTTCTGTGGAGTTGATGGTGGGGTCAAACTACCAATGCTTCAGTTAGCAGTGAGGGTTTAATCACTGAGCAACCTCCTTGGGGTCAAA